TAGCTTCCAGAAGGATGTCTGTTTTCAAACTCAGCATTCTGTTATGTGGCTAAGAGCAGAGAAGACAAAGGGAAGCAGAAACAAAGATATGGGCAAAGGAACTCTCTTTGACAGACATTTGCCTGTCCTACTTGGCTTCTTGATCTGACTGTCCTGCAGAAGGACAAGGCAAAAAGCCAAGTAGCCCACTGAGCTTTGAGAAGTGTAGGTCCAAATCTGGGAGGATCTGGGACTAGAAACCTCATAAAGAAGACCTGGGAGGAATTCACTCCTCTCCTGTGAAATCAGGATTTGTTTTGAATGAACCTGAGTGTTCCGTAACATGGAAAGTTGGTGCATCTCTAATAAACAGATGACAAGGGAGAGCAGAGTGCTGTACACATTTGTATAAACACAGCTGCACAGTTCTGACAGTATTAGAGTACAAGGAATGAGTCCTCCAGAAAAGTAAGAAAAAGAGAAAAATCAATTATTCATATTTTTTCTCTCTTGAACCTCCTGAAACAATGTAGAAGGAAATGGATGGGCACTTTCATGATGCACACATAAATTATGGCAATTTATTTCTGCTGTCAAGTCAGTAGACAAAGACATATTCCATATCCTGTCAGTAGAAGCACAAAGCTAAATCAGCAATGGACCAGCAAACTTTTGACTTGCTACCATTTAAAAAGTCCCTACGATCAGCTAAATTTTCATTAATTACAGTATTCCAGTGTCTCATGTCTTGTCAGCAACCTTGAATTCTAAGTTGGTTTCATTCTATTGCTCTAAAAGTAGAAAAACTGCCTAGGTTATTTATTGAAATGAGCTTTGTAAATACTTAGGCATTTGGTACGTATTGTAATATTTCTTACAGATCTGAAACAAAAAAAGCTGGCAGACACGAAACAAGCATGCCTGGATGCCACCAAAGTCACTGACATGTCTCCTTCCTGTGAAGGAGAGCTGAAATGAGGGAAAAGTACCAAGGCGAGAAAAGCACTTGCTGGGTCTTGAATTTAACTTGCATCTGGAGGAGAAAGGAGAGCCAAAACCAGGTGGCCCTGAACAATAGCTCTGCCAAAGCTCTTCAGCCTTCCTTCCTTCACAGGCTAGCATTATTCCCTCAAACAACAAGCATCTGGTTTATCATTTTAAAGCCTCCTACGTGGTGATTTATGCTTCATCAGGAAAAGGCAGTGGAATAACAAGAACTCAGCTTCCTTGTTATCTCAGAGGAGATCCTCCTCAGGACCTTCCCAAGATGAAAAAGGCCAGGGCAAGGCTCCATGCAGATATTCGGCATCAGATCTGCTGTGTGAGCCTCCTTACCTTCCATCATGAGGACAGGGTTCATTCTGTGTTTTCTCTAATGGCATTACAATTATTTGTGTGCCTCGACCTCTTGCCCCCCATTCCTGTCTTTCTGGTCATCTCTAATTTCCATCATGTCCCAAATATTCTCTCAGCAAGCAGACAAAGGGTCTCATACTAACTTTGTAGCGAAAATGAAAAGGGAAAAAAAGAATACTGCAAGGAAACCATAAATTAAAATTTCTAAAGATTTCTATTCAGATAAGTATTTTTGTCACCACTATATTACTAGAATCTGTAATAATGTCTGGCACACAGAATTTATGTTTACTAAATATCTATATTGAATATTCTTATTGAATGAATCATTGAAATGATTCAAGGTTTTGACATGGATACATCCAATAGTTATTGACAAATATCCTCTGTGTCAGATACTATTTCACTAACTTATATTTACTCCTGAAATGCAAAAGAGTACAGGGTAGGAATTACTCTCAAACCTATTTGGCAGATGAAACTGAGGCAGTTAAGTTTCTTGCCTGAGATCAGCAGTTATGGTACTATCTCAGTAATTTTGATTTGAGTCCATCTTAATCTCTATAATACACTGTCCACTAAAATACAGCTATCTGAAAAGACAAACCATGGGTAAGGAACAATTTTCATTCCACAAAATAAATTTGCTTCATAGAAACAGCCACCATTCCTGTGTCTGGAGACAGCCATCTCATACCCACTAGATTGGCAGCTATTAAAAAACTGGAACTTTCACATTAAAACAGTATGCTGATTCTGTATACCTAAACCTGGGTACTTTGATCTGTGGTAAGTCTGTTTATAGGCAATGTTTCTTACTCTTACATTGCCTACTTGATTATGTTTCCCTTTCAAATCCATCAAGATCAGTGAAGGCCAGGGAGAATTATAGAATAATTGAGACAGTCTTTCCCATTACTCCTTCTCTTTTTGTTCAGGATTCCTTTGTCATCCTTATAGACACTCGGGTGCACTCAGCTGCTGATATCTGCTGTGCTGGGAACCAACTAAAGCCTTTATTCAGTGAGTTTTCAATAGCATTGCATCTTTGCAAGAACCTCATCTATGTTTTGTAGTACTGTCATCGGGGTTTTCAGAGCCAGATCTACAATTACTCAACACAATAAAGCAAACCTTCCTGGAAAAGCAATAGAGAAGGCCCAGGGCTGAATACCCGATTGCCAGCAACTGAACTTTGACAAAGCTCAAGTGTTCCTGAAAACATTGACAGTGAATATAGGCAAAGCGCACACAGGCATCAAGAGGAGGGCTGTGGCTGGAGGAGGATCATGGCGTGATGATGACACAATGTGGCTCCGTACCCTCCACACAGGGAGATGCCCATTCATTCTGCAGAGTTTGCCTTTTCCTTCCTATCTGGTAATAAATAATGGAGTATTATCTGCTAGAAGACTCAGGAGGGTTTCTGATTTGTTAGATCTTGCCAATTCCTGAAACTTTTGTCAGAGACTGCAGAAAAGGATCAGATGCCAGGAATGAAGACCAAAGCATTTACTGGATTTCTCAGGTTGGTGCACTTTTGATGAGCCCTTCATAAAGTTAACATGAAATCTAATGTGCTTCTTTTCCTCTTTGGAATTTATTACTTGTAAATGGTGGGGTGGGGGTGACTGCATACACATTCCAAATAGAGAATGGGAGCTTTTTCAGTATTTCCTCCCTCAGAAGAGACACATGCCACTGACAGGAAGCTTCCATTTGTGACACACCAGATGCTGGATGAGGACTCTGCGTTGCCATCTGATGGTTGTTTTTGTTTGTTTTTAATTGAAAGAAAACATGCTTTCTGGGTGTTTGGTGGTATATTCTGAGGACAACAGCACCAGCTGAGGTTAAACAGGACTATTATTAACTGTATGGATGTTAGAGAAATCTCCTGACCCTTCTGAGGTACCATTTGCTCATATGTACTGTGGAATGAACAACCAATCATCTACATGTTGTAGAAAAGAAGAACTAAGATTGTCAAGGGCTAATCCAATGCTTGCAGCAAAAGTTATGGCTTGATCACTATTGTTCCATTTATTCATAGAGACACAGAGCAAGGTATTTGATAAAAGACAAAATCTGGGGAGTAAGAAGAAATATTGTAGAGATCAAAAATCATTTTATTTTCTTTCCTTTTATTTTTCTTTTGTCAGTTGCGTGGTTTGAACTAAGGGCTAGGGCACTTTTTGAGCTCTTTTGCTCAAAGCTAGCACTCTTACACTTTGAGCCACACAGCTCTACTCGAGATAGGAGTCTCACAGATTTTCCTGCACCGTGTGGGTTCAAACAATGATGTTCAGATCTCAGCCTCCTGAGTAGCTAGGATTATAGCTAGGATTATACCAGTGCCAGGCTACGAATCATTTTCTTTGATTTCATGAATAATACAAAACTTAGAAATAACAAAATCAAGGTGGTAAATATAGTTTAGTACAAAGTTTGGAGCCATATAGACACATCCATTTCAAGGGAAAGATTCATTTTAGACACCAGTCAGAAAGTGCAACTGTTTCAGATAGTTACACCTTGAAATGGATGATCAACTATCCCATGAAAGGAACTATTAGTGACAAATACTCAGTATAGTGGGAAAAATAATCTTTAGAATTGATAAGTGATTGTTTTAATAACATTTCTCCTCCTGGAGTATACCATTGTAAAAATGATTAAAATAAATGAGGCTCCTAAGCAGCGACCTCTCCTTTTCCTGCAATACATATAATTTCTAAGGCAAGTGCATCCTTTAGATGTACTGTCTTTTTTATATTAACTACTTATTCATGAAGCTAATCCATGATGAAAGGACAGTAGAGATTTTTCAGGAATTATTTGTTAAAAAAGTCAGGTAGGGACACAAGTGGTTTTTTTTCTTTCTTGCTATTGTTTCTAAGGTACCATGTGATTTTTTTGTTGCTTTGCATGTTCCTCCCCCATGGCATAACCCGTTTTCACTATATTTGATGTCCGTCTAATATGGGGAGGGAAAGGGAATAAACAAAATGTTTAAATAGGGATACTCAGAAGGCTAAGATCTGAAGATCTCCATTCAAAGCCAGCCCAGGCAGGGAAGTCCATGAGACACTTACCTCCAACTAACCACCAGAAAACCAGAAGTAGAGCTGTGGCTTGAGGTGATAGAGCACTAGACTTGAGTGAAAAAGCTTAAAAACAAGTGTCCAGGCCCTGAGTTCAAGCCCCATGACTGACAAAAAAATCTAGGGTTGTAATATTTCAAAATTGCTGAAAATGCCCAGTAGGCAGCTAAGATGGATTCTGTCTGTAATACACTGTTTTTCAGAAGGGAGCTATCTAAAACAACTATCACATAATAACTAAAGGTATGATTTTAGCAAATACTAACAGAGCTGCAGGAAGAAGCAGAGGGAACAATAGTTCTCTCAATCACACTTCATAATGAGTAGAAGCATCTTTGTTTAACTTTCAATGTATTTTCTCACTCCTTTCTTGTTTCTACTCCCTTGTCTCTTGTCCTAATTGTTTCAAATTCTAGAGAACTTTCAATAGGAGGGTTTCCAGTCTAAACCTCTGAAATCTGAATATCTCTTCACAGAGAGAAGCATGCACATACATGTATGGTGAATTTCTCAACATATGTACACACCCTTCCTTTCTAGGAAGATCAAACAAGCTTTTACTTTCATTTTACACCCGATGGTAGAAGAAAGCGATGGCTGGTGAGTTTTCTACTGGAGAAAGACAGTTTTGGGGGAAGAAATAGGTCTGAGAGGGCCTTTTTTCCTGAAAACTTTTGTTGGGCTATGTGGATGTTAGGAGAACAGAGCTAAGGGAAAAGCAGGACTGGTGAGGAGCGAAGGGGTTCGGAAGATTCTTGGAGACGGGAATTGAAAGGAAGGAAATGAAGCTTTTTCAGCATCCTGCTATCATTTTGCGATTGTAACTCTTATCTGTCTTTAAGTTTGGCAGCAGGAGCAGGGTGAGAACAAGATGAACACCTGAAACAGGGCTCTTCCTCTCCAATGAAAATGTGCTATTGTGATTTCATTCTTTCATTAGTTAAAGTTAAGTAAATGAGAGTGAGGAAAGGACGAGTTCTGATTTTCAGGCATTGACAGAGGGCTGCATTCCCAGTCTTCAGGACTCTTTGTGAACAGACATGGGTAATACCAAAGGGAAAATATGGCACATTAACAGAGTAAAAGAAGGGATTAGTGTAGTGAATGGAGAAGGACAATTTGCTCCTTTTTACTCTAAAAGGGTCCATTTTCTTTCAATAATGAAAGAGGAAAATGAGGCTGTTTCCATGACTTGATAAATCTTTGTGCTCTAAATAGACAAGTTCCTGAAAGAGAAGAGGAAGCACTTCATCCGGGCCGTAGGCACCGGTACAATAAATGGCTTGCTGGATGAATTATTAGAGAAAAGAGTGCTGAACCAGGAAGAGATGGAGAAAGTCAGATTTGAAAATGCCACAGTGATGGACAAGGCACGAGCTTTGGCTGATGCTGTCATTCGGAAGGGGCCACAGGCATGCCAGATCTGTGTTGATTACATTTGTGAAGAAGACTGCCATCTTGCAGAGACACTGGGGTTCTCCTCAGGTAAGTTTCAATGACTTAGGACAAAGTTCACACAGGCCATGTGTCTAGCTGTGCGCAACCTCCTAATCTCAGACTGCTGAGGCCTTGTTGCAGGTTCCCAGACTCCTCTCTTCCTCCTCCTTCTGCCTCAGTGGCCTTTTGATTGGAGCTCCTTCTTATCCTGTGTATGTGGGCATTCATTGAACAGACCTAACAGTGTCTGACTCCATGCTCCAGTAGTGCTTATTATTATTAAGGCTACTATTATTAATACATTTGTTTAGTTTTGTTACATCCAGAGCTCCCTAAAGTGTTTCCATCTTTTTCTGACATTGTGTTTTTTAAAATAAATTTTTTCCATAATTTTGCTTTCTGGAAAAAATAAAATATACTTGAGAGATGTGATGTTAGAACCCCAGAGAATAAATGAACACTATAACAAAAATCAGAATGTCATTGGTGTCCTTGCCCTTCCTTTTGAGTAAGACTGTCTACTATAGCTCAGCACTCCCTGGCACTGGTCTCCGTTGCACTTCCCCAAACCACTGCAAAAGGAGAGTTCTCAGAAAGTGGGAAGCATTGCTCTAGGGATTAGGGAAGGCCTTTGCCTGTGCAATCTACACTGCAGGTGTTTTCTGTGTTTATGTATAGCCAATGTTTTTATTTCTCTTCCATTACTTCCTTTTACTTTTATACTCATCCCCCTCAGTAAAAGGCAACTAATACATAACAGGAAGAGTCAGAATGACTGTAAAATGACCAAGGTATCTACTTCCTTGCCCAATTCCTGTTAATCTATAGCCTCTGAATCATAGACAGGCTTGCACAAACTCCTGTGGGTCATTCTAGAACCTAAGGTCATCTTCTCTAGGGACCAGAGATGTCTCCTCATTCAGGATCTTACCATGATCATGACCATCAGGTGTAATTAGAGGGACTTTATGTGTGTACTCTAATGAGCAAGGAGAAAGGTTATCAGAACACCTGCAACAAATCTTCTAGAATCTCAAGGTTGTAGATACACCCAGAAAGTCAAGAATATACTGGGAGAAGCTACAGCTGTTCCCTGGGGCTTGAACTCCTATGGGCCATGGTACAGCTGTCTCACTAAGACCAGGAAGTTGGACTACACTTTTCCTGTACCTACAATGGTCCTACGTTCAATGGATATTCTGAAATAAAGACTTAGCGAACTCATTTCTTTATTCATGGAATGCTAAAAGCTTCTGGAATACATTTCTCATGTAGGTATCACTGTATTGAGATCTTTTCAAACTATAAATAACACAAAATCCTTTTCTTATCTTTGATATTGACAACATTCCAGTTCTTGACAGGAATATTATCAATAGGTCTGGAGAGTTTTCTACAACAACATTGCCTCATCTCAAGTTTAGTTTGTCTCCTTAGAGCAGTGCAGATGACACTAGCAGGCAGACTGCCTTTACCTAGGAGAGCAGACATTCTGGTCAGTGCTCGTGTCACTGACACTAATGTGTAGCACACTTTGTGGGCTACCTTGAAGAATGGCTGGGCGATCAATATCTCATACTAATAATGAAAGCAGACTTAGGTTCATACTTTGTTCTACCAGTTTTCTAACTTGTGACACTTACAAAACTGACTTAATGCTTCTGATGTTTAATGTGCTACTGAGGTACTGAGCTTAGAAAGGGCTGGTCCACAAATACCTAAACTACTTATTGTTATTAATTAATTTCTATTTTGTCACAGTGACAAAATATAGGTAATATAAAGAATAGAGAGTAGAGTATAGCCAACTGACAATCGTTTTATTAGATTGCCACATATTTTCCTGCCACTATCATTTCTACTCTGCCAGTAAATTTTATGAACGTTTTCATCTATGCTTTGGGAATCTCATTGGGCCATGGGGGTCTGACTCATTCACAGAGTGTGAGATTATTAATATAAGTGAGGAACATATGGAAATACTTATGGAATTTTGCAAGGAAAATGTTATTGACTTTGCATAAATAGCTGTGATTCTGAATTGATGAAGGTATTTTTATTATCCTTCTAATTCTGAAGACTGATTAAAATATCATCTAAGTTTGAGAGCTTTAGATACTCCATCCTTTCAAGTATATGAAGATATTCACCTAAGAACTTTATCTCCAGTTTGAGGCTCAGGTTAGCTGTCCCTGTACCTCACTGTTTTCTGGTGTAAAGTATGTGTGTAAAGCATTGACACTTTGCGATCATAGTTTTCCCTGCCTCTAGAATCAATTCTGAGTTGGCAACTTTACACTGCAGTAGTGTTTAGCTCAAGAGCCATCTTCATATACGCCCATCAAGAAAACTGGCTTATTCCATAGCTGATCATACCTCCATTCCATTTTGTCAAGGAAGTCGGTTAGAAATATTCTTTGTCTTTAAACAATGAATAAACACCCATGCATTTATGCATAGGAACTTTGTTTCCCAGGAAGCTCAACCTGAACAGATTGATTATTAGTCAGGCCAGAGGGGGAAAAATTCAGTGGGGGAGCATTCAACACAGAGGGACAAAGTTCTTTGGAGATAAGTGATTTTTAGTGTGCTTTATCTTCTTTCAGGTTCAAACACTGGAAATTATGCTAATATGCAAGACTCCCCAGATGTATTTCCTTTTACCTCAGGTAACTGTTTTTAAATATTCGTTGAATCCCCATCTTTCTAGTAATTAAACGTCATGGGGTGAATCTAGCCTGAGCGGGGCTACGAGTAATTTGCCATGGGTGGGAAGCTACTCTTTGTTCTAAGTCTATTCTTTAGCTGAAGCTGTCCTGCTGTCCTCCCAGCTTCATTATCCATATTTATCCTACAATATTCTGATCCTGTGTCCTAATCCCCAAATTTCTACCTTAATCAGCACCTGAACATGTTCAATCACTGCCATAGACATCATGATCTAGACAATCTCATGTCTTCATGTATTTTGAAGAACATAACCAGTACATTAATTTCTTTAGTGAGTACATCACATGGTTTGGAGGAAATGAACTTGCATTCAAATAGAGGCTAATGGAATTTTTTTTACATCAACCATTGAGGAAACTCTTCCTCCTATCACCTGTGAATCAATGTTTAGTGACACAAATCTATCTAGTGTTCACCTTGAGTTTAGCATTTATCATTGTTCTTTAGTCTAGTTCATTTATTTGATCTCATCTCTTACAAGTGTACACAGTACAAAGTAATCCTGAAGGATAAGACAAAGGCTTATTTTCTAAAACATACCCCTGATATCTACAATTAGGCCTATTAAATAAGCACATAACTTTTTATAAAGCATTTCAGTGGAGCGAATTGAGATTTCCCAGAACCCTTCTGAAATTTTATCCTATGCTTTAAATCGGTAGGATCAGATTTATCAAAAATTTTTTTCTAACATGTTGAGTATCTTCTGAATGTGTTTATCTATTATAATAGGTGTTTATCTAAAGAATTGAGTAAAATGCTGATCTCTGTGTAATTCACAGTTAACTTATGACCATGTTGGCAACTATACCAGAGCGGTCCTTCTAGACCTGATTTCCTCCTCTGTGGCTTTACATATAAATGATGCCAGGAGGAACACAAAGTGGGATCGCAGGGGATGTAATTACTCACACTGTTTATTGTCTCTTGCAGAACCTCAGCAACTGCATGGCAACCAAACTATGCTCCCATCCCATGGCCTAAGAGGGAGTCTCAAGCTTTGCTCCCTAGAAATGGTGCAAAGGATTCAGAAAGCAAAAGCAGCAGAGGTGCTGTGTTCAGAACACAAGGACAGAGTGGGCTAAAGTTACATTTGGGTCTCTCCTGAAGTACAGTGGCTTTGTGTCAGAGCAATTTCTTTTAGATGTGGAAAATCAATGGCTGTTTCCCTACGTAAAGGATCTATCTCACCTTCTATAATTCGGGCTTATATAGAATGTACAAAGTTTGGACTAATTGCCTGAGTGAAAAATAATAGTAACAAAATCATTGGCTGATACTGGATTCTACCTATTCAATAAAGACCATATTAAACATCTGGCATAATCAATGCCTTTAATCCTCAAAATAATCAATTCACTTTAGAGAGTAGAAAACAAAAGAATTGTTAAAATTGTGTCCATAATCAGACACTTTGAAAGTGGAAGAATTAATCTGAAAATTCAGTATCCTGACTTCAAATCCAGTATATACTTCAAATTTTCACTTGCCAAAATTAAAGGCAGATGCTGAATTGCCATCTGGGCTTGGGCAAACTTCATACCTACTCCCAACTTAAAACCCAAGTCTCTTTCCAATTCTTCAGCTATCATTGATGGGATTTGGATTTTTTGATAGGTGAGGGAAGGGAAGCCATTCTAAAATGAGTACTAAATTAAAGCAAACTGGATTGTTCATCCTGTCTACCTTCTCTACAGATTTATCCAATCATGAACAAGTTGACCCGCAAACGCCTTGCCCTCATTGTCTGCAACATAGAGTTTGACAGTCTTCCTAGGAGGGCTGGAGCTGACGCTGATGTCAAAGGAATGAAAATGCTGCTTGAACAGCTGGGATACAGCGTCATTGTGAAGGAAAATCTCACAGCTTTGGTAAGGGTTTCCAAACAGAGACAATGCTTATGTCCTAGCTAACATTAGACAGAACGTTCATAGCACAAGGATACCTAATTCTTGAAGTTTATAATAAACACTTTCCCTTAGAGTGTGTCTGATATTCCATATCCCCTTCAAATGCAAGAGTCCCTCAGCAAGCTTCATGCATCTTGCTGGGAAGTGTTCCATGAACTTAGTACTGCTCTCTTCATTCACTCAACTCAGGATGACTTCCCATTAGCTTCCTTTCTCACTTTTCAGAGAAGACTTCAATTTTCTTTCCTCTTTCATTTTTGTGGAATAGTCAAAGCTTTCGTTAAATGTCTTTTTGTGAGCTTCTGAGGGTATGATGATAAACTTATAGTGTTATGGTTTCCTTTAGGAAATGATCGTGGAGATGAAGGCATTTGCAAACCGCTCAGAGCACCAGGTCTCTGACAGTACCTTCGTGGTGTTCATGTCTCATGGGATCCAGGAGGGGATCTGTGGGAAGGCATACTCTGCACAAGTAACTGATGTATTGAAAGTCGACACTATCTTCCAAATGTTGAACACCTCAAATTGCCCGAGTTTGAAGGACAAACCCAAGGTGATCATCATTCAGGCCTGCCGTGGAGGTGAGTGCTGATGTCTTAGAACTCAAGCCAATCAAACACTGAGTGTATCATCTGTTGACATCTTTTATTTCTCAATGTCTTCATGTCTGTCTATAAATGTTAAAGGACACCTGTCTTCATGACTCAAATATAGCTTCTGTGAACTATTTCTGGTTGGGAGACACTTGTTTCATTATTTAAATTGGAGAGATACCATTTGCAATGGTAAGACCTTAATGTGTCAGTGCCATTACAGTTCATTTGAGTGTTGCTAAAACAATGGCTCTTGAGTTTGTATATGTTTTTAAAAGGAAATCTATAAATTAGTACATATGCCCAGTGGAGCCTTTTAGGAGCAATTAGTTCTCTTGGGAGTTAGTAGTAACAAAAATCAAATTTTTTTCTTTCTAGAGAACAAAGGAGTGGTGTGGCTAAAAGATTCAGCAAGAGTCTCTGAAGATGAGCTGTCAGCAGATTCAGAAGGCTTTGAAGACGATGGCATTAAGAGAGCCCATGTAGAGAAGGATTTTATTGCTTTTTGCTCTTCAACACCAGGTAATGGATTTCTTGCAGAACACCATTGTGGAGATTACTAGTAGAGAGATTGACACTCAAATGCTAGAGCATGGACATCTGAACCAATTCAAGGTTCTCAGGAACACATTTAATTACCCTCATCCACAGAGTGGATACTTACATATTCACTAAATTAGTAATTAGAAAACTCCTCCATGGTATAAAGTATATTTTCTGAACCAGTGAGAGACAAACAGAATTAATTAGAAGACTTTCCACACTAAAACAAGTTAGAATCTGACCTCATATAGGAAAGTGAGAAATCTTGGCATTGCCCAGCAGCTTAGTTTTACCAGACATCATTACTTCGAAAAATGAGGACGGGATGTGCTGGCAGAATGTCAGACAAAGTACACTGCAGCCTTACATTTGGGTGTGTTTTTAACTAGAAAGATGGCATGTGTGGGGTGAATAGATCTCAATGACTTTAACCATAAGTTGTGATAAAATTGAGATTATATCCTGACCTTAATTTAGTACATTTTAAACTACCTCCAGTTGTTTAGGCTCTCTAGTCTTGGAATCTTCACACCCACACCCACATACACAAACAGTAGCATTCTTTGCCAAGACCCTGCCACTCTTCTCTGCTAGATTCTGCCTTTTCTATTAGCCTTTCAACTCCTTGGACTTAGAGACTATAGCACTCTAATATTTGCTTTTTTGTTTTCTTTGGTTGGTTGTGGGGCCTGAACTCTGGGCCTGGGAGCGGCCCCTCAGCTTTTCAGCTCAAGGCGAGCGCTCTACTTGAACCACAGTGCCACTTCCGGGTTTTTCTGCTTATGTGGTACTGAGGAATCGAACCCAGGGCCTCATGCATGCAAGGAAAGCACTCTACCACTGAGCCACCTTCCCAGCCCCCACTCTAATATTTGCTTTGTACAAAGCTCCCTTCAGCTTCAACAAAAATATACCCACTTAACTACATTCATTGGCAAATGGTAGTCATCAAGTATACAGAAGATAAACTGAGTAACATGCTACAGCTGGGGTAGCTAAGCGATCCCTGTGTTTCTAGGCAGAAGCCAGTAATACGTTTGAAATCCTGTATTTACAGGTAATGTTTCTTGGCGCCATTCCGCTAATGGTTCTCTTTTTATTATGAAACTTATTGAAAATATCCAAGAATTTGCCTGGTCTTGTGACTTGGAGGAAGTTTTTCGTAAGGTAGGATTTTAAGTGTTTCTCTCCTCTACTTCCCTTTATTTTGACCCTTCCAGCCAAAATTTCAGACATGTCCAGTAACATCATTCTTTCCAAAGGAATCTTGGTGGTTTTTGGTGAGTTAGTGAATCTAGGAGCCAGATCAAATCTATTACAAGCCACAACCTGTAGAAGACTTTAATTCCTATCCTGCTTTATGTAGACAAATGAATAATGGCCTGTGTCTGTCACAGCTATCAGATCCAGCAACTGTCATATCCTGCATAGATAGGCCTAATAGATGTAAAAATCTTATGTTTTTATTATTTATTTTCATTACATTAATTTGTTTTCCCAGCTTAAGTTGAGATTATTCACTCGGGAAACAATAAAAAAAACCTCTCCACACTTTCCTTTCCCTTTTAGGTTCGATTTTCATTTGAGCTTCCAGATGGCAGGACACAGATGCCCACCACTGAAAGGGTGACTTTGACAAGATGCTTCTATCTCTTCCCAGGACACTGAGTAAGCCAGTTGTATCAGCATCTGTGTGTAGATGGGTGTGTGGGAGGTCAGGTCTAAGGGAGACTGGGGGAAAGCTCTGAAATCCCATTCTAATTTCTAGGATGGTTTAATAAATGGGGAGGAAATGAAGGGATGGCTTTTCTGTCCAGAGCACATTGCACTGTTAACTTTCTAAGAGGTGGATGGCCCTTTCTCAGTGTTGGCTACTATAAACCAAAGGGTAGTCACAAAATTACGAAAGGATGTTTAGGCCATATTGAAATGTCGCAAGGGCTTTCCCTTTTGTATGAGTGTGTATGGCCCAGTAGAAGATAGTATTATAATTTGCATATCTCTTAGCTAAATCTTTCTTATATTTGTGCTATTTCCTTTCCTCATAGGAAGCCAGGAGTTCTGCCATTTTCTGTCTGTTGTGAAATCCTTTCTTTCTATTGGTTAAAACATTTGTCAATTTGTTCATTGGAAATAAACATTTCTTTAAATGATGCAATAAATCTGAAGACTAAATGTTATCCTGTGATGTTTGTTTGTTGGCATGCTGGGACTTAGAGCAGGTAATAGGTTTCTCATTTGTTAGTATGACTCAGGAATGAATTTGAATATGGTGCCAACCTTTCTTTTTAGATACTGTTTACTGGATTTCTGCTCTAGTGATACATATATCAAGTATGCAAGTTGCACATTAGATTTGTGAGTTTCAAGAATGTAGAACTGGCTGGGAGCTGGCTACTCAGGAGGCTGAGATCTAAGGTCATGGTTCAAAGCCAGCGGGATAGGAAAGTCAGTGACTCTTATTTCCAATTAACCACCAGAAAACTGGAAGTGGTGATGTGGCTCATGTGGTAGAGTACTTACCTTGAGTGCAGAGCTGAGGGACAGTGCCCAGACCCAGAATTCACGTCCCACGACTGACAACAACAAAAAAAAAGATGCAGAACTCAACATTAGAGACCTATAGAAGACATACATTTTCCCTGACTTTTTACAGTCCCTGGAAAAGGTGACACTGTCAACACATGTGAAACAATCAACATACAAACAGGATACCTTACTAACCCCTTTCTCAATGTAATTAATACTATAGTTGGGGATTAATCATTCACTCAGCTGTGTTATGCTTACATCGGAACTGTATTTCCAGTTGCACGCATGTACTCTTTCTAATCCTAAAACCCCTTCTAAGTCAAAATGAAATTTCTGACCTTTTGAGAACCTTCAAAATCGATTGCAATCTGTTTCTCTCTCTCTTTCTGCCCTTTCCTCCCTTCTTTTCTTCTCTTCCTCCCTTCCTCTCTTCCTCCCTTTCACTATTTGTTCTGGACATATCTCTTTTGTACAATTATGCATTTAATGCATTTTTCTATTACAGCTTGAGCTGCTTCATGGAAATCTTTTTTTAAAGAATGTCAAAATGTAGAGGTAAACAATCAACTGTTAGGTCAATTTTAAGCAGTGAAAGTAAAGCATGTAGGGAAGAGGAAAAAAGAGTTCCTCGGGGATATCTCAAATACGAAATAAAGATTATACATGTGACCATATAAGATGACGCTAAGTAAAATGAACCCCAAGATATGGACACGAGTTCTTTCTTTTTTGTTGTTTTAAATGTGCTATGTGATTATTTTGTTTCCTTTGTATGTTCTTCCCCCTATTGTACATTCCCTGTTGTCACTGTACTTGATTTTGGTACCCTGCATTTGTATATACATTTGTCTAATCTGTGGAGGGGAAGGGGAATAACAAAATGCTGAAAAAAGGACACAGGATGACCCATTGCACCAGTGATACCCACAGGACAGTATATTGGAAATTAACTTTACAACTTCTGGTGGGGGGGATGAAGATGGGGGAGGGAAGGGATAGTGGGAGAACCACCAGGGAAGGGTAACAATGCTTGACAAGAAATGGACTCATTGCCTTACTCATATAACTGTAACCCCTCTGTACAGCATCTTTACAATAAATTAAGAAAGATAAAGATTGTAGCAGGGCAGAGAGGGAAGATGATTTATACATTTAGACAGAAAAAAGCTAAGAAAACTAAATCAGATTCAACTTTTTTTGATTCATGCTTTTAATGAGCAGAGGTAGAAATACTAAGAGATCATAAAAAAATAAACGAGGTGTGGGTGAGTCAGAGAAAATAAAAAGGAGTAAACAATCCTGAGGTGCCAGCCATCAGGACAAGGTTTAATCATTATCTTTCAAAAAAACTTCCCCAAAGGGAGAGACTAAATTTGCCTATGACAGACAGGTCAATGTCATGACTACAGGGGTTTTCCCAACAGGAAACTAGTTCTGAGTTTCACAATGTAACCAGAAGTCCCACCCCCTGCAACTCAGGAAACTCTGGCAGAGAGACTTTCATTTTTGAGTAGAAGGCTCTCTCCAAGGCTGCAGGAAGGAACTGAGGCTGTTTGCTCCATCATGGCTGGTGAGTTGGGGTCGCTTCCTGAGCTTGGACCAGGAATTGGGTTTTAAAAAACAATCTATTCATTGTTCTGTAGCAGGCAGAAGCAACAACACAGGACCAGACCAGCAAAATGTAGAATTCTCCCCCTTGTTGCTTGTGTGTATAATTCAGGTGGATTGAGATGCTGAGGAGGTATGGTTTTCAGTTTTATCTGGATAAGAGAGGAGCTAATCCCTGTTTTTTCGATTTATGGCCATCAAAGGAAGAGTGAATATAGTAGCATCATGTGTGTGAGAGAGAACTCTGAAAGTTTCTAAATGGACTTGGAAAACTTTCGCTTTCCCTTCGTTCTGAATTAGTCATTTTGGTCCTAATCATTCTTTCCAGAAGCAGATCTTAGACCTTTTGGGCTTCTGCCCCACCTTTCTCTTATAACAAATGGTACTCTTCATCTAGTTGAAATTAACTCCATTTTCCTCACCTGCTCCAACTGGTTCTGGTATAAGTAAATCTGATACAGGATTTGTTGGATTGCTATCAGAGATGCTAAACTACTGTCCCCCTGTGTTCATGAAATTTGTCATAGAAACAGAACTACAAAATATTATGAGACAGGAAATAATTTGGTATGTAGGCAGCTAGTATTCAAACACAGCATCTCCAATATGTGGCTTTATTCTTGTTAGTTGGAAATAAAAAGGATGGATTAGATCCAAGTTTTGTAATGTCACTAAACATCTGTCATCATTTGATAAATTCGGTTAAAAAGTCTTCTTCCTCATGTTGCATAGCTCAATCTTAGCCAGACTGTGGGCATTTGAAATCTTTAAAATAGCTGCAACTAATTCCTCTAAAGATGGCCTGGCATAGGTTTATCCTGGAAGTACATGTTTAAGAAAGATAATCAGTTACTTAATCCTCAGTTCTCACACTCTAGGTAGCTATTAATGGAAATTTCTTACTTGAAAAGCTACATAGTTACTCATTGTGTTTAAAACAATGCATGAAATTCTCCAAGAACTTTTCCTGCCTTTCAAAATATATTTTAAAAAATCTATCTACTTTTCCATGAATCCTTTTTAGTGTGATTTCACATACATGAATAAAAAAATTATTTACTGCACTCTCCCTAGTAATACTTCCTTATGATTATGTCTCTTTACTTTTTTTCTATAGTAGAATTATTTCAGGAGTTGTATCCTTTTTTCTTTTGCTTTTTTTCCTCTTCATTTAAAAATTTATTGCTATTATCAAGGTGGTGTATAGAGGGGTTACAGTGATTTAAGTCAGGTAAGGAGTAAATGTCTTTGAAGAAAATGTTACCCCTTCCTCCGCTATCTCCCAGCTTTTCCTTCCTGTCCCCACCCAAAAGTTGATAGTTCATTTTCAACACAGTGTCCAGTGAGTACCATTTCTGCATTTGTTCCTCTATTTCTGTGCCCCCTTTCCACTCACAAAGACATATAAATGAACAGAGCCAAAAGTAAACAAAAATAGCAAAAAAGAACAAAAAAACTCTTGTTTTCATTTTCTGAGTTCATTTCGACAATTATTATTTTGTGTGATCAGATGCACATAGGCATTGTGCCTTTCCGTTCCTCTCCTGAGAGTATCCTCCTTCGGTCTCATTGTCAGGATTTGTGTTACCTTACAACTGAAGCTCTTAAAAGGCAGGAACAGATTTTTTTTTCTTTTCTTGTTTGCTTCATGAATTAAGGCACTTGTCTGTAAATTACTAAGTTAAATCAATATCCTTGGCTGCCTCTAAGCCAAGGAATCTGGCTTACCAGTTACTAGACTGGATAAGGGCCATTAGATAATAAATGTGAAAATGTTGAAAGATACTAGATAAAACCAAGAGGCTTTATGAATATAAACAACCTAGATTCTGGCAATTGTTACCTAAAATTCCCAAGGAATAATCTCCAGTAATATCTCAAAACATTGTATCAGTCTTTTTTTGTTTCATTGCAACCTCAATTTAGTATCTTTTGTAAAAAACCCACAAATATACCCAAATAATTTTTGATAAACTTCCTTCTGCATGACCGCCTCTTTATTCTCTTAAGTGAATATTTAAAAGTATGCAATGGTAAATAATGCTGCAATGAAAATGGTTGTGGTGGTCATTTTAGTGTGGCTCTGTTTGTAGTCCACTGGATAAGTGTCCAGGACTGGAACTGGGTAAGTGTCCAGGACTAGAACTGCTGAGTCATAAGGAAGCTGTATGTTTTAGACTTTTGAGGAAACTTCATACTACTCTCCAGAATGTTTAAATAAGTTTACATTCCTACCAACGATGTTCATAGAGTACCCTTTTAGGTATATCCATGCCAGCATTTGTTATTGTTAGTTTTCTTGAAATAGCCATTCTAACTTGGGTGAGGTAGAATGTCAATTTGTTTTGATGTGCAATTCCTTTATGGCCAGATCTTGAACAGTTTTTATCTTTTTTTTTTTACATCTTCTTATGTCCTTTTATGTCTTCTTCTGAGAAGTCATTAGCTTATTAATTGGGATGTTGTTTCTTTGAGGGTTTAGTTTTTGGAGGTTTATTTTTTTAAATTTTATTTTATTGCACAGATGCTGTACAGAAGGGTTACAATTACATGAGTAAGGTAATGAGTACATTTTTTTGGGCTCTAAGAATAGTTTACATCTGAGGCCCTTGTCTGATGCATAGCTGGTAAATATCCTCTCCCATTCTGTGGGTTTTCTACTTATCTTGTTAGATATGTCCATTGCCAGGCAGAAATGTTTAAGTTTGATCCAGTCCTTCTTTTATTTGTTGACATTCTGTGTCTTTACTTAGTAAAGTTTTAGGCTGTGTCTGGGAGCCCTAGTGTTTCCCTTACTCCTTTCTGTAATATTTGCATGATTTGGGGGCTTACAATGAGGTCGTTGATCCATTTTGAACTGATTCTAGTGCAAGATGATATATAAGAATCCAACTTTAGTTTTCTGCATGTGAATAGCCAATTTTGCCAGCATTATTTACCAAGGTAAGATATGGAATCATCCTAGATGCTCTGAATCAAGAAATTATGGTATAAATACACAATAGAATTCTATTCATCCATCAGAATCACATTGCACTATTCATAAGAAAATGGAAAGACTTGAAAAAAATTTTAAGTGAAGTAAGCCAGATCCAGATAAAAATAGATTTCATGTTTTCCCTCATGTGTAGTAGCTACAATGTGTCAATAGATCTCCATGTAAACATACTGGATGGTAATAAATAAATAAATACATTGGGGGCTGATAAATTATACATGTCTCTAGGCATTCACATTCAGTTAGACCAAAGGAGAACATTCTTACATCAGGAACACAAAAGTGGGATCCCTATGTGCATTTGATCATATAAACTGATATTGACTGAAATGAACTCCAGGAAATGGAAACAAGAGTTTTTTTTTCTTTTTTGCTGTTTGTTTTTTTTCAGTTATCTGTCTTTGGGAAGGTAAGGGAGGCACAGAAATAGTGGGACAAAGGGTGAACAAATGCAGCAGTGGTAATCAACTAGTTACTATGTTGAAATAAACTGTATAATTTGTGGGTGCAGAAGGGAGGGGAAAAACTGGAAGAAAGTGAGGGAAAGAGTGACACTTCAAAAACTGTACTCATTACATCACTTAGACAACTACAGCCCTTCTGTATATCACTTGTACAATAACAATAAAAATGCACAAAAGTAAAATTATGCAATTGTATTTTGTAATTACCAACTGCAAGAAGATACTGATAGAAAAATGATAAAATTTATCTAAGGTAAAAGGTACATTTGGTAGAGTGATCTCAGGTTGGCTTGATTTAAAACTCTAGCTTATCTCCATTGTCTGCACAAGTATTCAAAAAGCAATGTGCATCTGAACATTGCCATTTCAAGTTTGTGCCATATATTTCTGCTTTTATTATAGTATTATTTTAAAGCTCAGCTCCACTAGCTTCCTGACAATATCAAGATTTTGTACTTTTGCTCATACTACTCCCTCCAGAAATAGGTCCCCTTCAGAACATAAGCCTCTGAGCCTCCACTAACCTTTCAGGTCTGTTTCAAACCCAGCCAACTGCCACTTGATGAATGCTATTTAAAATGCTTTTCTTGTGCCTATGCTAGTAATAAACTTAGCTTATTTGCATGGCACCCATCTCTCCATCTACTTCTAAGCCTTAATACCTGGGAATGTATTTACAAAAGGTTATTTACAACACTATCAGATAATCATTTACAAAAAGGTGTTCATTGATTATCCTTAAATGAATAGGAGAGTGAGTATAATGTCCCTGTTCCTCAAATCTTACAATGTACTCATATTCAGTAATCAAACTTACTTAACTTGCCATTAAACATCAAGAGTTTCATTAATAGTTGGATCATTTTATTCATTTGTGCTTACATCAATGTGTGATTGAAGAGTGCATTACTGAAGACCACTTGAATGCCACAAGTAATGTAGACCTAGTCTAAAGTCTTTGACCCTGCAGAGTTTAAAAAATAATAGTGGGGTAATGACAAGTACATTGGGAATTATAATTATGTGGAGAAAATTTCTGGTCTAGGGAAAAGCAAGGTACCTCAGGAGCACATACACTTGGTCCCTCCATACAGCCAGGGGGCATCTGGAAGGATTCCCTGAAGAAAGTACTAATTAAGACTGAAAGATAAACAGAGGACACAAGAGGAAAGAATGAGTTGGGTATGGAATTTAAAATGTAGGTAAAGCCCTAGTAGGATTTTCTAGAAACTTAAAAAAGGGCAGAATATGTAAAATATGACAAGCAAGGTATTAAGAATATTGGAAGAATGAAAACACCTTAGATGATATTGATCAGAAAGCTTTGTGATCTAATCTAGGTACTGGAATATCCTGCTTCATTGTAAAGAATAGAAAAGGAAATAGGGAAGAGTTTATAAGCTTGCTGGAGTAATTGAGAAAGGAAGTATGTTGGCCTGGACAGAAAGACATAATCAGGATCAAAAGAAATTGTCAGATTCTGTAAATATTGATCAGAGAAAGCCAATACAATATGGACTGGACAGAAAATGAGATATAGAGAAATAAGACCAACGGGTGTGCTGTCTGTCATCAGGGCTACTGTTTCCTTACAGGTTAGAAAGTGTGTACTAGCAGAGTACAAAAGAGGAGAATTAAAGTGTACAGTTCTTCTTTAAGTGTTGAATTTAGGAAGTTTCTGGGTAATGGTAAAAAGATAACTCATTGATACTGAGAATACAGTTCTCAGAGTTAGGATCTATGTCTAGACTGACTTCATGAATTTGAAAGTCAGTTGTTTCTTATTTAAGGCTTACAATTGGTACACTGAGATTATGCAGTTTATGGAAAGAGGATTTTAGGCAAAACCTCATTTAAAAATTCTGTTATTGCAGTTGATGATGTAAAATATGGCATTTTAAAATATTCATATATTGAGTGATACCTAAATGAATTTAATTAACATAGGTGTCACCTCCTATAATTGTGTGTATGAGAGAGAGAAAGAGAAAGAGAGCTGAGAATACTTAAAATGTACTCTCTGAACAACTAACAATACATCACTATTAATATATTTCTTCTAAGGAAATGTCTCCCGTAGCTCACATCTCTCTAACTTTCTTTCCTCCAACACAGACCTTGGTAAGCACTATTTTACTCTTCATTTTTAGTTTTGTATTTTTAAAATGCACATTTGATAGATCATAAAGTATTTAACTTTAATACCCTGGCTAGTTTATTTTACTTAACATAATATCCTCCACTTTCTCCCATGTTTTCACAAATGACAATTTCATTTTCCAATGGCTGAATAGTAGTATCCCATGAGTACATGTACTACATATAATTTTATTGTCAAGCTGACGTACAGAGGGGTTAGAGTTACATACATAAGGTAGTCAGTACATTTCTTGTCAAACATTGTTACCCCTTCCCTCATTTTTCTTCCATTTTCCTCCCCCAATGCACCCCCAACATTGCAAAGTTCATTTCCAACACGTTGTCTTGTGAGTATTGCTGTTGCATTGGTTTGCCCTTTCTCCTTTGTCTCAACATTTTGTTGTTCCCTTTCCTTTCCTATTTGAGATAAATTTATATAAACTATATAGGACACCAAAGTCATTCTTGCTTTTATTTTCTCCTATGGTTTATCCCGTGTTGGCACTGGGCTTGATTTTGGTACCATGTACTACACTTTAACAAAATTTTTTCATGGTATTTCAGTGAGATTTATGTAACGCACAATAGGTGCTCCATAAATTTTCACTATTGTCACTAATGCAATGTCATGGTTAACAACAGAATATGATACACCAACAGAATTTGAATCCTAATAGATATAATCTGGTTTTATGCAAATTAGGATTTATGCAACTGTAATTAATACATTTAAGTGATATTTATATTTATGATTTTTTTTTAGTTTAAGGTAGGAAAAATAAATATCCTACTGGTTTATTGTAGGGTATGGTATATTTATATTTATAAAGAAAATAGAATATAATTGATAAATAGTGATTATTTGAAAATGATTTTTGCTATGGGTATTTAGTATAACTATAAAAGTTATAGTTATACTAAATACACATTTTACAGTTATATTACATGCTGAGACATTGTTTTTTGTTAAATCAATTGATATTAAATAACTTGTTTCAAACCAAGTGTGTACTATATTCTGGTATTAATTTAAACAGGTGAAAGGGTTCTACAGATACAATGAAAGATGTGTGTACTTTGTTGCTGAGATGGTAAAAGCAGAATGCACTTCAAGGGCATTTCACATCATAGAAGCTGTGTTTAAAGTTCAGGAAAAATTTGCTAGTTGTGCATATAATGGAACAAATTTTCCTGTTTCTTACAGAAAAAAACTTTAAGAAAAATCCATTTAAGATGGCAGAAGTTGTGGGCAAAAATATCCTCACTGGTTTTTTGGAAAATTTGGTACAAAACAATAAGGTGAAACTTGAGGAACAGGACAAGGAAACATTTAACAATGCTGAGTGGAGAGATAAACGTTGGGTCTTTGTGGACGCTTTGCAGCGGAACCCTGATATTATTACACGTCAAGTGCTAAGAGAAACAATCCTTAAAGAGAAGCCAAAAGGCAATGATGTCAACGGTAAGTCTAGAATAACTTACAATGGATATCTCAAAATTCCAGATCCTCAGTGTCTTCTCGATTTTCTGATCATTCTATTATTGAAATACCATTTTCATTAAAATAATCACTGTCTTTCCTACAGCCTTTGTCTTTAGCAGGGTGAGAATCAATTCCCAGAACAAAGCCCTTTTGTTTAAACAGAAATAATTAATATAGAAACACTGTAGGAAAAACCCTAAACTTAGAGATTCTGTCATCCTGTGAATTCAGTAACTTGGCACAAGTTTCTTAACCTCCTCAGACATCAGTCTTAGCATCTGTAAAATAGAGGCAATTCCAATAATTCTTCTTATAACTTGTAAAGTTGCTAACATAGTAATGCCAGGTACCTGATAAATCCCAACATACTAGCACTCATCTCAAGCTCTCTATAATGAACTCTATAGATTCCAGAGTCATTTAGCTCTACCTTCATATGCAATATTTCTGTTCAAATATTCTAGTAGTTCCATAAACCTACCTAAAATTATACTTACTTCCTTTATTTTGTTCCACCTTATTCCTTTTACATCTCAGTGAATAAGGCTAGCATCTAGTAAGTTTCTTCCACCAGATCATAAATCTAGTTTTTTCAGTAATATGTAATAGTAATCATTAGAATAACTAACACATAAGACATATCTACTTAATATGGGATAAATAGGCAAATGAAGGTCATGCATGCAATAAATATTAGTTATCATTATTATTATTATATAGGAGCTACAATTTAGAATTTTCTAAGACTTGCCTATTTCTGTATTTCCAAAAATATAAAAAAATCTCCATGCCCAAATGTTAAGTTTTATACCTTTGCACAACTTCTGAACCAAATTGAACTATATTACTAGAGTCCAAATGTACAGATTCAAGTTACTGGATGACAGACAGTTTCCATAGAGCCTAAACATAAATCTTTAGCCCTAATATTAGATACTACTAATGAGTAATTACCAGTAAGCCATTTTTTTTATAGAGAAGGGATGTGAGCATGCTAGATGTCCAAGACTATATCCCATGATACATTCTCATTAATATTTACACTAGGTCTTCTGAAGATTAATTGCTTTTTTCAATATTTAGACTGCTTGAAAAGTCTCACATTTAAAATAATCACGGGTAATACAGAACATGATAATCAAATTTTAAGTAAAAGGAGATTCAAAGTGAGTTTAGCAACCACAAGGATCATAATGAACATTAACATCTACAAACTACTTGAAGAGCCAAGGCTTTTTGTAGAAAGGAGGACCCTGTAGACCCTTTTGTGAGTGGTCTGGTGGACCCTTGGACCTACTGGCTTTGTAGATTCATCAGTAATCCCTGTAATCTGAGTGCACTAGCCCTTTGGAATAGGGCACTAAGTGAGATATTAGAATAGGTAAAGCCTCACAAGTTCTTTAGGCAAAGATATAATTTTAAGGATTCTTAGCCAAGCCTAGAGGTTATAGAGTGAAGAATATAAAGAAGACAAACTATTTTTGTTCAATTTCATTTGACAAATGCATAAATACATACATATACAATGCATGTGTGAATGCACACACATGCACTCTTATGTTCTGAGCACTGTTAATTATTAGAGACATGAACACTCAAATTTCTACCTACCAAGAAACATGGCTTTCTCTTGTTCTATACGTGCTCTCCCTTTTTGTATCAGTTTCAAGGGACAGAGTTTCATAAGATTAAGAACATAAAATTTTTGTTTAAATTCCTTCTATTGCACTGATTGGTTATGAGAAATTTGGGGCATGGACTCCTCTCTATTTTCTGTTTTGCAATGAAATAATTTTCTTTCATCTTGATTTTACAATTACATATACATAGACATTTTCTCTAGTACCTAAAATTATGTCAGCATACCTCTATCTCTCCAAAAAATAAGAAAATAAAATCTTTGACCTGAGATAAAATATCACTATCATTAAAGAACACTTTTCCTGCTGGGCACTGGTGGCTCATGCCTGGAATCCTAGCTACTCAAGAGGCTGAGATCTGAAGATCACGGTTCAAAGCCAGCCTGGGAAGGAAAGTCTGTGAGACTCTCATCTCCAATAAACCATGAAAACTAGAAGTGGCGCTGTAGCTTAAGCAGCAGCTCACTTGCCTTGAGCTGAAGAGCAGAGGGATAGCGTCCAAGCCCAGAGTTCATGACGTACGACTGACAAAAAAAAAAAAAAATACTTTTCCTGAGCATCTGACTTTAACATTCGATGACAGATAACTGAAACCTATTTCTTCTAGAAAGTGTAAGAAGTCAAGCTGTTTTGAAATGAGTAATTTCTGAATGATATAGAATTCAAGATTCCAAGTGTAGTGGTGTGTTTCTATGAATCACGTGGATTAGGTGAAGAGACTTATTGCAAAATGGCATGCAAAATGAAGTACCAACTGTATATGCCCTTGAATTATGGGAAGTAATGCAATGATAATATTTTTGATACATTAAATAAAACATATTGAAGTACTTTTCCTGCTTATATTTACTTTGTAAAATGTGGATCTTAGTAACTTTTTAATGTGGATATAAGAAAATTTTGAACAGACAATTTCAATTCATAGCATTTTCTAATGAATAGCACCCTGAGAAATACTTAATATATTTTTGCTTAGAGACATGCAAATGTACTTCGATGAGTAAATGCTACCAAAGTAAAACAAATGGAAAAATAAAAATGTTTCTGTGGAAGATGCAAAAGCCAAGTTTGGTCTTAAATAGTAGGTTCCTCAGAAAGGTGAAAATCTATTGCTTCATTTTTGAGAGTTTTTTACTCTATCAATGACTTCTTTCTCAGTTTTTACCCATCTCTTTATTTATACTGCCTACATATTAAAATGTCTTCTTGGGATTCCCTTTTCTCTTAGTTCTCTGAGGTACTTAATTGAGTCACAAAAGCAGAAATCATAAATTACCTTTTTTTCATGTTTCCTTACAGTTCATCCTATCACCGAGACTAAACCAGCTGAGTCAGCAGAGCCTGATGTCCTCCAGCTTTGTCCCCGTGAGAAATTCCTGAGACTCAGTGCAGAAATGGCAGATGAGGTACAATGCTTGGTGCATGGAAGTGAGGGCAAAAAACAACTGCTCCCACTAAAGACATAATTTCTTAAATCACCATTTTGGGGAAAAGGGACAGTGGTAAACTTTCTCATTGAGGCTTTCAAGGAATTGCTGAATAGCTTCAACCAGATTCCAATTCTCCTTCAACTTGATGATAAAATGTCCAGTGCTTATATTCACTTATTACTTCTGTTTGAATTTGTGGCAAATTTAGTTATAATCATAGTATAAAAATGTTTACTGAGTTGAAAACACTAGACATGAAGGATTTTTAAACAATATCATTAATGTTTGAAAAACACTGATGTGCTAAAAACTATCATCAAACCCAAAGGATCAATTTTGTTTATTCTTACTGGAGCCAGTGATGAATAACTATCACTAACAGTAAATTTGATCTGCAGCTTGAATTCTAAGAAAGATTTAATTAAGTGTAGATAAATTTATAGAAGGTAAAATTATTCGAGTTTAGTTAAGATTCTTGAATAAACATTCCAGATATGTTCTGTTCCTAGCTCTGGACACTAAAGAAACAGGAAGGCAATGTCTTCTGATAGAGGTTGGGGAGAGGAAGCTACCTAAGACCTAGTAAAGCAACACTGATGGGGGTATGATGCTCTTTGACTAATTACTTTTATGGCACTTGGGACTGAATTAATCAAGTAATGTAGCACTTGTGATCCAAAGTGGATCCAGGAATATAAGAGCTTCAGAGAATGCTAGTAAATTAACCTTACTGAATATCCATTTTTTGTAGATCTATCCAATAAAGGAAAGAACTGATCGCACACGCCAAGCTCTCATTATATGTAATATAATGTTTGACCACCATTCTCTGAGGTACGGTGCGGAAATTGACATCAGAGGAATGGAAGGGCTGCTTAAGGACCTGGGCTATACTGTGACTGTAAAAAGGAACCTTAAAGCCAAGGTAAGAGCTCCTTACTCATTGCAATCTTAATAAATATTCATTACATTTCCTTGCTGTCTGACAAAACTCTTTACAAGCATAGGCCACATCTGTATTTATGTGTGTGTGTGTGTGTGTGTGTGTGTATGTGTGTGTGTGTGGTGTGTGTGTGTGTGTGTGTGTGTGTGTAATATACAAATTATGAAAATAGACAAATGAATCTCTACATTTTAGGCAGGTATTTCTCTTTCTGCTACCAATATTTTTTTCTATCATGTAAATGGAGAAGTGGAATATGTATCCACACAATTCTTAGTTCTAAAGTAGAATAATTATAATTTATTGCTAGTAATTTGTAGAAAAATTAATGCTAACAGAAGTATGAGCTCTGACTTGGTGTGAAAGTTCTTCCTAAAACTGGGAATGATTATGTAAATGAGGCAGTTAATGTCCAGCTTGCATTGGTCTAGGTTAGAGTGAAAAGAGACAATATATATTAATATTTGACGTAAAAAGAACAAAAATAGCAATGAGAGATTTGAGAGCAATGCTTGATGAAGTTCAGAAAAGCTTCTGTGAATAGACAGCATAAAAATGAGACAGGATTACAAAGAATGACATGCTTTGGAAAAATGAGTAGGAAAGGTTTTCCAGACAGAGGGAGCTATAAGTGAAAGGGCTAACTTGAGACTTCTACATGCATGGCCAGGCAGAGGGAATAATCTGAAGAAGGGAGTAATCAAAAGTGGAGTATAATCAGTGCTAAGGTTTGTTTTTCCTTAAAGCACATGTGAAAAGATCCAGAGAGAAAGTTTTGTGGTTCCTTTATCAAGGCTCTCATTTGGTGAGAAAATGTAGTAGTGCAAAGGAAAATGTAGTATGAATAACGTAAATAGATGTATGATATATCAAGAAGACTGTTTACAATATGTCAGAAGGAGCACAAAGTTGGAAGACACAAATCAAGAAAGATAAATAAAGTATTATTATTGATTAACCACTCTGACAAGAGCCTTATGCATGTTTCATGCTGCCGATGGTAGATTTAGAATGCCAGATAATTTTGACTACTTGTTCTACTGCAGTAGACGTTGTCCTTTTCCAGGATATGGAGTCATTGCTGAGAGCTTTTGCTGACAGACCAGAGCACAGCAACTCAGACAGCACATTCTTGGTGCTGATGTCTCATGGCACCCCACATGGAATCTGTGGAACTATGGATAGCAAGGAAACCCCAGATGTGTTATTTTATGACACCATCTATCAGATATTCAACACCTGCAACTGCCGTGGTCTAAGAGACAAACCCAAGGTCATCATCGTGCAGGCCTGCAGAGGTGGTAAGTTCCAAGATGAGAAATCTAATGGCTATGAATAGGGTTGAAGAAGATCCCGCACACATCTTACACTGCATCTTGTTCAAATATTATAAATTTAATTACTAGGAAATTCTAATAGATATGTCATGAGATAGATATGCCATCCAGACAAAAAGTCAACGAAGCTCCCTTGGAGTTTAGATATACTACTTACCAAATAAACCTGATAGATGGCTACAGCACAGACACAAAGTATACAAATAGCCACAGAATAGATATTCTTTTCATCAGCACATGTCATCTTTTTAATAATGACTATATATGAGATCAATTGCAAATCTTAAAAAATTAAACAACAATGAATTATTTCATTACATCTTATCAGACAACAAAAGAAAGCAACCAGAAACCATCAGTAAGAGAAACTATAAACACATGACAATTGAACAACCACTTGAGGAAAAAAAATAGTTATTTAAGAAATTGTGGGGAATTTATTTTATTGTATTGTAAGGGTGATGTCAGAGGGGTTACAGTTATATAAGAGAAGTAATGAGTACATTTCTTGTTGAACACTGTTTTCCTCTCCCTCATTTTCTCTTACTTTCCTTTCCCCGATTCCCTTTCCCCCACAAGTTGTAAAGTTCATCTGCAGCCTAGTGTCTTGTGAGTATCACTGTTTCATTGGCCTTACATTGTCTAAGTATTTTGCTATTCTGCTTCCCTTCCCCAAATCAGATAAGCTTATATACAAAATATAGAGTAATAAAATCAAAAACTCTGACAACAGATGATAAACCAAAGGGAAAAAGAAGAAAGAAAGAAAGAGAGAAAGAAAGAAAGAAAGAAAGAAAGAAAGAAAGAAAGAAAGAAAGAAAG